TTTGGTTTGGGTTTGGTTTGGGTTTGGTTTGGGTTTGGTTTGGGTTTGGTTTGGGTTTGGTTTGGGTTTGGTTTGGGTTTGGTTTGGGTTTGGTTTAGGGTTGGTCTAGGGTTGGTTTGGGTTTGGGTTTGGGTTTTGGTTTTGGTTTGTGTTCCAGTTTGGCTCTGTGTTTGGTTTGCGTTTGGTAGGTTTGAGCTTGGTTTGGGTTTGGTTCGAGTTTGGTTTGGGTCTGGTTTGGGTGGGGCTCGGATCAAACAGAGACAAGGAGCAAGGGCAGCCCTATTTAGCTTATGGCGACTCTGTAACTTGAAAGCAGCAGCCTGGGACTTGTTTGGGTTTGGGTTTGGGTCTGGTTTGGGTTGGGTTTGCGTTTCTTTCAGTTTGGGTTTGGTTTGGGTTTGGTTTGAGTTTGGTTTGGGTTTGGTTTAGGTTTGGCCTGGGTTTGGTTTGGGTTTGGTTTGGGTTTGGTTTTGGTTGGTTTGAGTTTGGTTCGGGAGGGCTCGGATCAACATCGAACAGAGATAAGGAGCAAAGGCAACCCCATTCAGCTTCTGGCGACTTTGTAACTTGAAAGCTGTAGCCTGGGACTTGTTGCCAGTGCTGACTAGAGAAAAGAGCAACAACCTCGCAGCTTTTTGCTAACTTTCTAACTTGAAATGAGCACGCTGCGGATTTTTTACTCGTGCGGACTAGAAAAAAAGCAACAACTTAGCAACTTTCTGGCATCTTCTTAACTGTCAATCAGCACCCTGGGGAATTTTTACCAGTGCTGACCAAGAAAAAAAGCGACAAACTTGACGATTTTGCATTTTTCTCGCTACCTCCTCCAAAATATAAAAAAACGGCAAAGGCAATCCGCACCAATATTATTTTTTTGGCCGTGCAGCCACACCCAGAAAAAAAAAAGAATGGAGATTGCTTTGGCCGCCTTTTTTTTTCTTGGTGGTTCGAGTGGCTGGTCTCTTTTGAAAAATTTTTACTTTTGCCAATTTTTACAGCAATGCGCTTAAAATTTGCGAAGTTCGAATCGCCTCCAGATAGAGCAACTGCGGCTCAAGAAATTCCAAAAATGTCAACAAATTAAAAAATTTAATAAACGGGAAAACAAACAAACTCGCGGGCACGTGCGCGCTTTGTAGTCGCGTTGGAAGCTTAAACGCCGGGCAAGAGAGCGAAAGAAATCACATCAGTGGAGATTGCTTTCGCCAGCTTTTTACTCCTTCCTGACTGCGGTCGCTCGCCGATTTCGAAAAGCTTACACTTTTGCTAATTTCTGCAGTGATATGCTTGAACTCTGTGAAGCTCGAACCCTTCACAGTTTAAGCCTCTACGGTTCTAGGAATTAAAAAAATGCTGACAATCCAAAAAATTTAAACAAACACGAGAACAAATAAAACCGCGCGGGCCTGCGCGGTTTCTAGTCGCGCTAGAAGCTTAAATGAAGGACAAGGGTAATTCAACAGAAAAACGCGCGAAAAGCTAGCGCCTTTCTGGTCTCAACTGGAATAAGCTCGCAGCTCGGGCGCTTCTCTCTAGTAATTGAACAGAAAAACGCGGAGCAGGCTCCCTCTTTTCTAGTCCCAAACGCAATGAGTTCCCTGCCCAAGCACTCCCCTCTAGTAATTGGGCGACAATCAGTGGAGCGGCTTTTTCTAAAGCCCACCGGAATAAGCTCGCCGCCCAAGCACTCCCCCCCCAGTAATTGAACCAAAAAAGTGGAAAGCGTTCAGCCTTTTCCGGTCCCCCCTGAAAAAGCCCGCAGCCTAAGCCCTTCCCTCTAGATTCTGAGCGGAAAAAGTTGGGAGGCGTCGCGTCCTGGGCAGCTTTCTGGTCCCTCATGAAGTAAATGGATAGCCCATGCTCTCCCGTCTAGATTCTGGGAAGAGAAGGTGGGAGGAGTATTACTTTCCCAGTCCCCTATGAAATAAATTCGCAGCCAATTCCCTTTCCTCTACCTAGATCCTAAGCCAAAAAGGCCGGGCCTTGTTCTGCTTTTTTAACCCCACTGAAAAAAGTCCCAGCTCTAGATCCCGGCCCCCCTCTAGATTCTGATCCGAAAAAGCTGAGCGGGGTGCTCTTCTTTTATAGTCTCCACTG